GCTAACCGGAGTCGGCCGTCCGGGATTGCAGGCACAGGCGCGTTGATATCATCGAGAGCGATCGTCCTCGAGCCCAATATTATCTTTCCTTCGCAATTGCCTTCCGCGGCCTCGATCCCATAGCCGTCGAGACCGCGGGCGCGTTAACTTAATCTTAATTACGTTATTATATTGATGAAACATGATTGCTCTCTTTATTTCTTTTCTTTCCTCCTCCTCTCTTTCTTTCTTTCATTCTCTCTGTCTTCCTGCTTCCGTTCATGCTTCCATCGTATACGCTTTAAATGTAAGGCATTTAATTAATTAATGATAATAATAATAATAATAATAATAATAATAATAATATCGTTACTTCACGTACTCGGCAGTTTCCATTGAGTTGGATCAAACGTCGCCGTCGGCGGACGGACACGCGGCGACGCGGGCGACGCATGCCGCCACGCGCGCTTTCGCGGTTCGATCAAGTCGATGAAAAGTGCACACGCATCGTTATCATCGTTATTATCTCGGAGTATACTCGTTGTCTACGAGGTGGCGCGAGAAAATTTCACACGTCTTCCCCGTGGATACAAACAGGCGCGATCCCGTGTAAAATAATGACTGTGACGGATCTGTTCCACACCCGAGTTCCCGGCCTCTGCGCCCAGAAATGCCCGGGGAACCTTACCTCTCTCGCACCAAGAGCTAGAGCCATCAGTCGCTCGTCTCTTGCTCTCTCTCTCTCTCTCCCCCTCTCTTTCGTCGAAGGCTGCTTCTCGCGACGAGGCGAAGAACTGCGAAATTTTGCTCGCGCCACTCCATATGCGCTCGTACATATGCGTTGTTTGAAATTACGTCGCTAAAGCGTTGCGCGGAGCGACCGCGTGCGTTGCGGGGTTTTGCACCCGGAGCGTTCGCGCGCGCGCAACACCATTTGAATGCGTTCGTACTGATATCGTCGAACATGTATAAAATTGGTTCTACCCTCTCACCACAAGCAGGTTGGATATACTACCGCAGCGTTAGCGAAAATTCTTATATGTTAATCCATAATTGGGGAGTGTGTATGTGTGTGTACGTTAACTTTTCGAGAAAGGAGATACACGAGGAGGAGAGAGTTAGGTAAGAAGTTAGACACGGAGGAGGGTTAGGTGAAGGGGAGGGAAAATCGTAAGACCATTATGGGTCGCATCTCTTACTGTACGCGCAGGCACCTTCGTTGGCATGTTTATCTCATCGTATGTATATATGTATATTTATATTCGTATTTATATTTATATTTACGTCGGTATTCATATACGTCTATGAAGCGGCGGGTACGCGCATAGAAGCAGAGCGCCGGTGAAGCGGAAAGGAAGTTTAACGTCGGCAGGTCGCGACGCGCGACAACACAATGTGAACATCGGCGCGCTCGTTGCTCGTTAATGCGGAAGTAATTGAACGACACATCGGAAATACGGCGGAAAATGCGCGCGTGCATTTTCCGCATTTCAATTATTGCGTGCGCGCGCGAGCGCACGCTTCGGCGGAATCAATGGCGTTTGATTTAAGGGGTGAAATTCCATTTGGTTTCCGGTGTGCTCCAACGATCTCGCGCGGGGAAAAGCCTAGCAGCCGTCCGGCGACAATTAGATTCTATAATTAAAGCGTTCGTTGGAATTTCGATGAGCGCGATATACGTGGACGTTGCGCCCTTTTCCGGCTCGATTTTGACTATTGTTAGCGTTAACGACCGCGGATGTTCCGCCAATGTTTGCCATGAAATTATAATACATTCCGCCGTGCAGATGCAAAGTGTCCGCGAATAAATATTGTCTCGCTCTTGTCGAGTCTTCTACTTATACTGAAAAATGTCCAAATGCGCGCATATCGGGATGTTATTATGAAAAGCTTAAAACAAAAAATTCTGCCGCGTATGTGCGATCGGAAAACGAATGTGTACGAGTGAAAGCGGAATTTCTCTGACGTATGCGTATATTCGCCGCGCGTTAAGGTAAAGGTCAAACACCAGAACAATCCAAAGTTCGGTTAACTGCAATGCAAACACTTTGGAACGATTGGAGATTCTAATTTTGCTTCTCTCTCTCTCTCTCTCTCATTCCTCCTGTTTGTCTTAACGAGTGTATTTTAATCCTCAAGTTTCTCAATTAATCCGATCTCTCTGCGCGTCGGCTTCTATGTGCCTTGGGAAATCGATGAAGCACTTCTGGCACAGCTAGCCGATTCGTATTTCTCTGTGCCACGGTGTATTACATGCGCGGCGTTCATGCCAGTGTCTTTGTCTCTATCGCTTTCTTCCGCTCCACGTATTCCGAAGCGAGCACACAATACGAACGCGGCGAAATTCGGCCAAGTCCGATCGTACGATTATTACGTTCGAACGATATTCGGTCAAACGTAAACATTTCTCGCGTCGGAACGCGTCTAGAAACGAGGTTCGATTATCCGAGAAGCGTCACGACACTCGCGCGTTATTTACGTCGATCGCAGAATATTTTCTCCCGTTCGGTGACCGACTCTTCTGCCGTCATTCGAGTCGCCGGTAAATCCATAAATTCATTTTATTCGCGGTTTACACGAACGGCTAGCAGCAGCGCGGCGGCGCGACAGTTGTTACGAACTGGAATTTCGTGTGTTTGACATTATCGACTTCGTTCTTGAGAATTTTCCCGAGGAAACCGCGGACCGTTGGAGCGCGGCGTTTCATCGCTTGTGTAACGAGGGAAAGTACGAAGTAACGCGAAGTTCTTCGTTAATCGTATCGACCGTCAGGACGGGTCTCTCTTTCGCGTCGAGCACGCCAATCTAGATTGATAAGCTCACGTGTCGCGATGTAAATTAACCTGGCCACCACGGGGATGGCTGAGGATAAGGGACACGGCTAAGGTTAAGTCGGAAGGGGGTCGAGGTTACGTGGCTCCGGTGTGGAGAGATGGCTATCCTTGATGTGATCCTACGCCACCCCAACCCCGCTCCCCCTCTCCCTCGCGCTCCTCTCCTCGCAACCCCTTCGCTCCCGAAGCTAGACTCAACCCCATCAAGCGCTACCGCCCCCCTCTCCCCCCCTCTCAGAAGCTTAGCGTAACCCCGAGACGCCACAAGAGGCAATTAACCTTCCGCCAACCCCTTTTGCGCGCGTACCTCTTCTGCCCTCCCCCCTCTTCACCCAAGCTTACCACCGCACGTCCTGGTTCTACCGCCGTTTCTCGTTCCGTCTCAATCTCTTCTCCCTCTTTCATCCCCGTGCTTAGCTCCACTCTACGCCTCGTGCTATACCTACCTACCCACCCCCGCGCAGCCCCGACCACCCTTACGCCGCGCTACCGACCACCGTTGATATCCTACTCCGAACATCTGCATAATCATGCCCAATTCCCATTGCTAATTAGAGTCCATGCTCGGGTAGCGCATCCCAACGTGGCGAATGCACGTCAACCTCCATCACCTGGCGGAGCCACACCGCGCCGAGACGTGTCCCACATCGCCTCACGTCGCCCCGAGAAGAAGGGACGGGTAAAAGCGCGGCGACGGTGATGGCGGGGGACGACGCGGGCCGAGAATAGGATGGGCGGCACAAGGTGCACACTCTCGCGCGCAAGAAACCGACCGAACTCGCGCGGAATCGATTATTCTCTTTTGCGGGACGACGGTGATTTTTACGCCGTTACATTATCGACTACTTACCGCCGGAAGAGGTGTAGCGAGATACGCGCTATTATCCCGAAACAAAGTAAGAAATCGATTTAACCGAAGCCGTGTGATTCCCGGTATGCGCCCACCGATCAGATACGGATTAAGTATCGACGTGATATTACAAGCGAGAGAGATCGCGCGNGCCCCCCCCCCCCCCGCTGGTTTCTTCCCTCTCTTTCTACCTTTCCGTTTTTTCTCTCTTTTTTTCTTTCTTCTTTTTTTTTTAATCGTGCCCTCTCAATCCGCTTCGACGAAACTTACGGTCCCCTTTAAGAGGGCTTCGACTTTCGCTGAACGAGAGTACGCACACGAAGGCCGCTTGGACACTGAACGGTCACGTTAATTAAAGGTTGTCGGTACGGATCGTAATTGCAGCCTTGCTCCTTCCACGAAATAACCGGCCGACCGAGAGACAGAGAGACGAGATTGATGATACATTCGGCACGATTCGTTGCGCGTCGACCTTGGGGTGGAAATGCCGATCGGGAAACACACCGGTATTTGTGCCTCAATAAGCGACAGATGTAGCGGGTAATCATGCGCAATTCTGCCTAATTATTCTGTTCAGTGATCCGCCGGCATTATTAGCACGTGCGCATACGCGAATATGTAATTGCGCGAGGCTCCCTTCGCGCTGGGGCAAGACGAGGGCGTGCTCGCCCGAGAGCAAACGTCGCGGAAGCTTCAAGCGATATCGCGCGGAATCGATCGGTTTCCCTTAACGGTGCCAGCTGCGAGAAAATGAAGTTTGAGGAGAGAAAGAGGATACGTACCGTGATAGCACCTAATACAAGTGATGCGGATACACGAGAACCTCCGGTCTAGATGGGCACAAGAACGGTCGTTTACCCTCCTCCCACCCTCGTTCTCCGATCGAGACAATCGCTTTCTCCATTCGAGCCGTCGCTCGGCGAAGCAAGAGACGCGCGATCTGCCCATCTAGCCGAATCCAACTGGAATTCGCAGAACGCCTGTGGAAAGCTTCCACCTCTTCCTCCCCCCCCCACCCCCACCCGGGTTTCAGCGGGTAAGCGTGAATGGCAAAGGATTCCCTTCGCTGAAAGCGGCTACGTATATTGGCTGCGACCAAGTCGCAGCAGCGCGCTGCAACACGCGTGGAAGTTTGATGATACGTACGAAGCGCGTCCGTCCCGAATTCCGGGGAAAGATTTCCAGATGCCGTGAGAGGAGTGGAAGCGTTTTCTCCGCTCTGATCTGCCTCGAAGCACCGCGACTTCCTTCCCGAGGGAGAGGAGTCGCGCACGGGGGG